ACGCTGCAGTGTATTCCCGAGTGTAGCTCGGGGTTACCGCTTGTGGTGCTGAAACTTTACCCAGAGCTACACTCGGGAATACCGCCAGGGGGGTTAAAGTGGTTGTAAGACTCAGACGTGAAATATGAAGATAGTGTGTACTTGTCTCAGGTCAGAGCACTAAGGGCTCATTTACACTTGCTTAAAATGTGGCACGGGACATGCTTTTTTTTTTTTTTAAAGCACTCTGAATGCCAGTCAAATCCCCTGCCAAATAAAATGGTAAGCTTACAGTCCTGTTTACTCGCTGCATTTGCTTTGCTTCAAAAATTATACCCTGTGTTGCATTCTTGGTGCTTCAGAGCGTCTCCGAAGCCTCCTTAGAAGCCTCTGACAATTCTCGCTAACAGCAACTGCAGCTTTGGAGGGGATTTTATTCAGTTTTAGTTTTACTTTGTTTTGGAGGTATTGCAGGCATGAGATATCCCAGGATGCACTGGGAAACCAACAAGCAAACCAGAAAGACATCAATCATCAGCCGCTTATGATTCATGTGTATATATGCTGGGAGTGTTTGGTTCAGATATCACATCTGGTGTGTAGCATGGAGCAGCAGGACGGCGAGCGGTGTCAGGGCAGGAACAGAGCAACCAGCAGACGGCACACGTGGTGTGCAACATGGGAATGGTATAGTGGAAGGTGAGCAGGGACCGGAGAGAACACTGAGCAGCAGAGGATCACCAGAGCTGAGGGACTGGAGCAGGGACCGGAGAGAGAGCACTGAATGGCAGAGGATCACCAGAGCTGGGGGACTGGAGCAGGGACCGGAGAGAAAGCACTGAGTGGCAGAGGATCACCAGAGCTGGGGGACTGGAGCAGGGGAAACTAGCAATGCCACACATGGTGTGCAGTGTGGGATCAATATAGTGGGAGGTGAGTGAGGTCAAGAGAGAAACAAGGATTTGCAAACCAACAGAGCTGGGGGTTACTACTGAGTGGGGGATCAGCAGAGCTGGGGGTTACTACTGAGTGGGGAATCAGCAGGGGGGGGGGTACTACTGAATGGAGGATCAGCAGAGCTGGGGGTTACTACTGAGTGGGGGATCAGCAGAGCTGGGGGGTTACTACTGAATGGAGGATCAGCAGAGCTGGGGGTTACTACTGAGTGGGGGGGATCAGCAGAGCTGGGGGTTACTACTGAGTGGGGGATCAGCAGAGCTGGGGGTTACTACTGAGTGGGGGTTCAGCAGAGCTGGGGGTTACTACTGAGTGGGGAATCAGTAGAGCTGGGGTTAGCTACTGTGAATAATACTGGGCAGGGGATCTGCTGATCAAGGTACTAATACACTGGGATCTGTTAAATGAGGAACTAATACACTGGGGATCTGCTGAACAGGGGTACTAATGAGCTGGGGATCTGCTGAGTGAGGGTACTATTGAGCTGGGGTTCTACTGGGCATTTGCCAAGCTTCATTAAAGCTTAAAAAAAAAACATCTCAGAAGCATCAAAAACACATCAAAAAGCATGTTGAAGCAGTTGGCACTTTAATGTGTGTAAAGTCCAAGCAAGTGTAAATAAGCCTTAACTGTCATTTCTTTCTGCTGCTGCTCATCTCTTTGCTATCAGCTTGAGTCACTTCTGGCAACTGTTTCTGACACTAAGAGATAAGAAGGTGACAGGGGAGGGAGCTCCAGCACACAGCCTGCAATTGACAGCGTTAGCTGTGTGAAGGGGGGGGGGGGGGGGGGTATCCTTTCGCTCCAGCCAGCTCTCACTGAGCTCTGCAGAGTGTAACTTCAGCTCCCCGCCCCATGGTTTTTGATAGCTCAGACAAGCTGCATAAATTAATATTGTATATAATACTTGAGGATTTGTTTCATCTCTTTGTATCACCTGAGGCCAGTCACTTCACTGGGTGTATGTAAAGGTTTACAACCACTTTAAAGATGAATTCCAGGTATGGATATTTTATACGTTGTTACATTGGGCCAATTTGAACCAGTGTAACTATGTACAGTTAGGTCCATATATATTTGGACACAGGCACAATTTTAGTTTTTTTTCAGGTATTTACCAAAACATATTCAAGCTATAGTTCTATAATGGATATGGGCGGACAGTGCACACTCTCAGGTTTAATTTGAGGGTATGTACATCCGAATTGGAGGAAGGGTTTAGGAATTACAGCTCTTAAAGCGGAGCTCCACTCAAAAGGCGAAGTTCCGCTTTAAGGATTGCTCCCCATTAAGGATTGGCACCTTTGGGGAGCAGGTACCCAAATTTTACAGGTACCGCTCCCACTTCGCCTAGGCGATCGGAAACAGAAGGTGTCCTCCCTCCCTCCCTGTAGTCTTTTGGGACACGTGACAGGTCCCAGAAGACTACAGGACCATTCATGAAGTGCAGCGCTACTTGCGCATGTGCAGTGGGTACCCGGCTGTGAAGCCGCAAGCTATCAGCTGGGTGCCCAGAGTGAAGATGCTGGCCTCCTGGAATACAGGACGGCCGGTGAAACGAGCTGCACGACACACCACGGGACCGAAGGACAGGTAAGTGGCTGTTTTTTAAAAGTCAGCAGCTACAGTTTTTGTAGCTCCTGACTTTTATTTTTTGATCGAGTGGAACTCTACTTTAGGAGTAGCCATCCTCCTTTTTTCAAGGGACGAAAATTAATTGGACAATAGAATCAAAAGCTGTTTCATGGCCAGGTGTGGGCTACGCCTTCATTATTCCTTCATCAGTTAAGCAGGTAAAAGGTCTGGAGTTGATTCTAAGTGTGGTTTTTCATTTGGAATCTACTGCTGTGAACCTACATCTTGCATTCAAAGGAGCTGTCCATGCAAGTGAAACCGGCCATTGTAAGGCTTCAAAAATGAAACAAATCCATCAGACAAATAGCAGCAACATTAGGAGTGGACAAATCAACAGTTTGGTACATTCTGAGGAAAGAAGAACGCACCGGTGAGCTCAGCAACATAAAAGGCATGGACATCCACGGAAGACAACAGTGGTGGATGATCGCAGGATCCTCTCTATGGTAAAGAAAAACCCATTCACAACATCCAGACAAGTGAAAGACACTCTCCAGGAGGTGGGCGTATCATTGTCAAAGTCTACAATCAAGAGAAGACTTCACGAGAGCAAATACAGAGGGTTCACCACAAGGTGCAAACCATTCATAAGCCTGAAGAATAGAAAAGCCAGATTAGACTTTGCCAAAAAAACATCTAGAAAAGCCAGACCAGTTCTAGAAAAGCATTCTTTGGACGGAGGACACTAAGATGAATCTGTACCAGAATGATGGGAAGAAAAAAGTGTGGAGAAGGCTTGGAACAGCTCATGATCCAAAGCACACAACATCATCTGTAAAACATGGTGGAGGCAGTGTGATGACATGGGCATGCATGGCTTCCAGTGGCACTGGGTCATTGGTGGTTACTGCTGATGTGACAGAAGACAGAAGCAGCCGGATGAATTCTGTAGTGTTTACAGATATACTGTCAGCCCAGATTCAGCCAAATGCAGCAAAGTTGATTGGACAGCGCTTCACAGTACAGATGGACAATGATCCACAACACACTGCAGAAGCAACCCAGGAGCTTTTGAAGGAAAAGAAGTGGAATATTCTGCAATGGCCGAGTCAATCACCTGATCTCAACCCAATTGAGCATGCATTTCACTTGCTGAAAGCAAAACTAAAGGCAGAAAGAGCCACAAACAAAGAACAACTGAAGACAGCTGCAGTTAGAGCCTGACAAAGCATCAGAAAGGAGGAAACCGAGCCTTTGGTAATGTCCATGGGTTCCAGACTTCAGGCAAAGCATCAGAAAGGAGGAAACCCAGTCTTTGGTCATGTCCGTGGGTTCCAGACTTCAGGCAAAGCATCAGAAAGGAGGAAACCCAGTCTTTGGTAATGTCCATGGGTTCCAGACTTCAGGCAAAGCATCGAAAGGAGGAAAGCCAGTCTTTGGTCATGTCCATGGGTTCCAGACTTCAGGCAAAGCATCAGAAAGGAGGAAACCCAGTCTTTGGTAATGTCCATGGGTTTCGGACTTCAGGCACTCATTGCCAGTAAAAGATTCTCAACAAAATATTACAAATGAAAATTGTATTTATTCATGTATTGTATTATATTCATTTGTCCAATTACATTTGAGTCCCTGAAAATGGAGGGACTGTGTATAAAAATGGATGCAGTTCCTAAAATGTGTACTTTATATTTATGTTCAACCCCTTGAATTAAAGCTGAAAGTCTGCACTTCAAATTCATTTCTATTGTTTTGTTTTCATTTATTGTGACATACAGAGCCAAAAAGTATGAAAATTGTGCCTGTGTCCAATATATATGGACCTAACTGTATATACCATACATGACCAATGGCCCTCGAAGCTGGAAATCACCAAGGTAGATACCGCTACTCTGCTGATCTCTTCTAGCTTCTGGGTCCTGTGCTAAGTGGCTGCCCTGCTGCATTCTGAATACACTAGGCACAGTCACCATTCAGAGGATGCTTTGCATTTTCTCAATGAATGCAAAGTGTTCTTTGATTGGATGAGGGTGGAGGAGTAATGTCATGCTCCCCACCTCATCCAATCAGAGAATGCTTTGCATTTATTCAAAAAATACAAAGCATTCTCTGAATGGCAACTGTGCTGAGCGGCCAACCTCCTGTGTTAACGATGCAGCAGGAGAGCTGCTCAACATAGGACCCAGAAGCAAAGGAAGATCTCTGGAGTTGCAGTGTTTAGTTCAGTGATTCCCAGTTTTCAGGAGCATCAGCCAAGTATGGGTATATACATAGTTACATTGGAGCAGGCTGTACTAATGTATAAAATATCCATACCTGGAATTCATCTTAAATATATTCCTCACTGGCTAGTACTAATGGAAATCCACTTTGTGTGCACCAAAATGCCTTTGCAAACCTGGATTTTACCTTGTTAAAGTAGCAGTGACATGATCTCTGTGCTGTATGTAGCCCAGTTGGTCATCTCTATCATGTTGACCTTCGTCTTGCAGAATCCCTCTGGCCCAAGATCCGGGTGCCTCTGAAGGTTGTCAGGACACAAGAGAACAAGTTGAGCAATCGCTTTTTTCCTTACGATGAGATTGAAACTGAAGCTGTCTTGGCCATCGATGATGACATTATCATGCTGACGTCTGATGAGCTACAGTTTGGATATGAGGTAGGTGACCTTTATGTGACTTACCTGTGCACCATCTATGCAGCAGCTTTTATTTATGTACATATATCACGGGGGAGGGGAGTTCCAGCACACAACAGGTCCGTGACAGCCTCAGCTGTGCATGTTTCTCGATGAGCTGTGTGAGCAGTGGTAGCCATTCCCTCCACTCAGGCCCCAGATTACACTCAGCTCTCTGCTCTTTGCTATGCAGTGTGTGACATCAGAACCCTGCCTCCTACCTACCAGGCTCAGAGATGCTGTGTACAGTGTGTGCTTTAGGAGGTTGTAGAAAAGAGGGTGAGGATAAACGGGTACAACTTAGGAGGATTTGTTTCATCTCTTTGTATCACCTGAGGCCAGTCACTTCACTGGGTATATGTAAGAGTTTACAGCCACTTTAAAGTACTATGTTTATATTGTTCTCTCCTATGTAGAAATGGCAGCATACCGCCTAACAGCCTTTACATGGGTGAAAAATGGCCTTTGTACCTACAGCCACAGTTCTAAGATTGTACACAGGTCCCACACTGCTCATTGACAGATTTAACTGTTGGTCAGCTCAGACTGACCGTAACCAGTGCACTCTCCAGTTAGCTTGTTAATTTGATCTTGGACATTGTTCAGCATGGATGTTGATTGTCCTGCCTTTTGTACATTGGTTTACTGGAGGGAAAACCTACAAATCCATATTTGAATAGGTTCACACATGCACTGGCTGCAGAAGAGCTTGTTGACATTTGAACCTCTGATGACAGTGGTCCTAGCAAGGCCCATTGGAAGAAAGGGTATAATGTGTCCCATACGTTACATGCAGTGTTCAGGTTTCTGCATTTTTCCACTAATCAATATAAAGGGCTCTTCTTCACTGAGCACCAACGTAATAAGGCTCTTCTCCACTGACCTCCATTTTTAATGGGCAGTTATTTACTGCCCACCAATGTAAGGGTGCACTTCTCCACTGACCACTGATTTTAAGGGGCAGTTTTTCACTTACCTCCATTGTTGAGGGGGATACTTCTCTACTGACCCTCAGTGTAAGGGGCACTTTTCCACTGACTGCCAGTGTAAGGGGGCCATCCTTCCCTGACCGCTTATGAAAATGGGAACTTTTCCAATCCAATGACCATCAATCTAGGGTGGGACTTCTTCGCTGGCTACCAACATATTAAGGCTCTTCTTCACTAACCACCAATGTAAGGAGGCACTTCTCCACTGACCACCAATTTTAAGGGGCAGTTCTTCACTGACCTCCATTGTTGAGGGGGATACTTCTCCACTGACCCCCAGTGTAAGGGGCACTTTTCCACTGACCGCAAGTGTAACGGGGCTATCCTTCCCTTACCGCTTATGTAAATAGGCACTTCTCCACTGAACACCAATTCTAAGGGATAGTTCTTCATTGACCACCAATGTAAGGAGTACTTCTCCACTGACCACCAATGTATGGGGGCCCTTCTTCCTTGACTGCCAATGTAAATTTAAACTCCTCCAATGACCATCAAGTTAGGGCAAAACTTTTTTCTGACCTCCAGTCTACAGGGGCACTTCTCCACTGACTACCAGTGTAAGAGGGGCACTACAATCTGCACTGTTCCAATCCAATGACCATCAGTATAGGGTGGGACTTCTTCACTGGCTACCAACATATTAAGGCTCTTCTTCACTGACCACCAATATAAGGAGGCACTTCTCCACTGACCACCAATTTTAAAGGGCAGTTCTTCACTGACCTCCATTGTTGAGGGGGATACTTCTCCACTGACCCCCAGTGTAAGGGGCACTTTTCCACTGACCGCAAGTATAAGGGGGCCATCCTTCCCTGACCGCTTATGCAAATGGACACTTCTCCACTGACCACCAATTCTAAGGGATAGTTCTTCCTTGACCACCAATGTAAGGAGTACTTCTCCACTGACCACCAATGTATGGGGGCCCTTCTTCCTTGACTGCCAATGTAAATTTAAACTCCTCCAATGACCATCAAGTTAGGGCAGCACTTTTTTCTGACCTCCAGTCTACAGGGGCACTTCTCCACTGACTACCAGTGTAAGAGGGGCACTACAATCTGCACTGTTCCAATCCAATGACCATCAGTATAGGGTGGGACTTCTTCACTGACTACCAACATATTAAGGCTCTTCTTCACTGACCACCAATGTAAGGAGGCACTTCTCCACTGACCTCTAATTTTAGGAATTTTAAGGGGCAGTTCTTCACTGACTATCAATGTAAGAAGGCACTTCTCCAATGACCACCAATTTTAAGGGGCACTTCTTCACTGATCACCAATGTAAGAGGTCACTTCCCCACTGACCACCATTGTAAGAGGTCCCTTCTACACTGATGACCAATGTAATGGGTACTTCTTCACTGACCACCAATGTGTGGAGGCCCTTCTTCCCTGACTGCCAATGTAAATGGACACTTCTCCAATGACACCAATTCTAAGGGATAGTTCTTCATTGACCACCATTGTAAGGGGTACTTCTTCACTGACCACCAATGTATGGGGGCCCTTCTTCCCTGACTGCCAATGTAAATGGGCACTTCTCCAATGACCACCAATTCTAAGGGATAGTTCTTCATTGACCACCAATGTAACGGGTACTTCTACACTGACCACCAATGTATGAGGGCCCTTCTTCCCTGACTGGCAATGTAAATGGGCACTTCTCCAATGACCACCAATTCTAAGGGATAGTTTTTCATTGACCACCAATGTAAGGAGTACTCTCCACTGACCATCAATGTATGGGGGCCCTTCTTTCCCGACTGCCAATGTAAAATGTCAACTCCTCCAATGACCATCAAACTAGGGCAACACTTGTTAACTGACCTCCAATCTGAAGGGGCTCTTCTCCACTGATTACCAGTGTAAGAGGGCACTACAATCTGCACTGTTTCTTATTGTTCTCAATTTCATAAAAATTTTTTATTCTCTGAAAATCTTTTTTGGCAATATGGAGGGTATAAAATATGATCCACTCTGGGTATCAAATGTAGTAAATATGCCATATACTGATCAGGCATATGTACTGTGAGATGGGGTTATAATATTTTTTAGCAGGGGGGGTCCTTGAGACCTCAGTATTATTTAATTTCATGTTCTCAGTAGTAAAAAGATATAGAGGCTTCACCACGCCTTGTCAGGCACAGTGGTTGGGAAGCTTGTGGCAGGTGTTGAAATTGCGCCAGTAACCTACTTTTAGTGTCTGTGTGAACCAAACCTTTGAAATGCTATTGTGAGCATTCATAGAAAAATGTCATAAGCCTCAAATAAATTTCAGGGAAGCTTCATAAGCTTTTTTAATCACAATTTTCTGGAAATAGACAGTAGTTCGCCTTTTAAAATGCCATTATCTTTTCTTTGGAAGGAGGGGAAAAGTAGTAAATAAGTTTTATTTTGTCTGTGGGACAAGACCAGACCGTGCCCTTAAATGTTCTCCATCTGTGATCTCGAATCCAAAATATGCATTGGCAGGTACGGAGGTTTTTCTGAAGCATTCAGGCCTGGGGTCTGTTCTTCAGAATGGTTACGCGTCTCCGGAGAGTTGGGCAATTGCAGTGGTGGTGCCAGCTGCCAGACTACTGGGTTCTGTGGGAAATGCAGCCCATACCCTCTTCCACATTGCTTCATGCTGAGACCTCCTATTGCAAATTTTTGGCAGAGTTCCTTCGTGGCATCTGATGTGGAGGATTACGTTATTCACAATTTATTTTTAAATGCTGGTATTATTTGTGGGTCCTGTGCAGATATGTCTTTGTCTCAAGGGCATGTTTGTTGTTAAGAAAGCAACCCAAAGTGGAAACTCTAAATGCTAGCTTGGAAGTGTCATCTCTTTGCTATTCTAAAATAAACTTTCAATTACAAATCAAGAGATGCTGTCACTTTACCAATTCAGGGAGACAATTGGCAGTGTTCGTTGACGGCCCGTCCCCACAGTAAGGAACACTCAATGTCCATGCTCACTTGCTGCCTTCCCACTGTAGAAGTCCTCTCTGGGTAAACTCACCTGCCTGGATGTCATCACTGCCCTTCCTCCAGTGTCAGTATTGGGGGCCTAGCAACTGGCCCGAACAGTGTCACATGGGGTTGGTTACACAATGCCTTTTGCCATAACCAGGACATTATTTTCCCATTCCTTTGATTGGCCTTGGTTCGTCAAGAGCAAATTTCACACCATTGTCTGGATGCGGTTTGGACTGTGTCCATCTCTTAGGTTGGTTACACAGGCCCCCGATACCCAAAAGCATTACTCTATTAGAGCAAATTAGCGAGAGCTCTGATGGTACAGGATGGCAGTGAAGCACCATGGATTAGTGACTATAGCTTTCACGGGGAGGCATCATCCAAGTAACAGTCCTTCCTTGAGACAGTACGGCTAAAGTGGAGCCTCTTTGTGGCAGAAATAAAGGAGCTTGTCTTTGGATTGGTTCTTTGTGCCTAGGTGGACTCTAGCTCCTAGTTTCAGGGCCTCTGTGTGTTTCCAAGTCAAGAGTAATGTCCCTGCGGTACGCAGGAGCTCTCGTCCTGCTGGCTTGATCCAGGTTAGTTATGCACTGAATCTGAAACTGGTTCTCACAGGGCTTTAGAAGACACAGTGGGTTTGGGGTCCTGAGGATGCAAATTTTGTGGTTTAGCAGGAAGCAGGGGCGGACTGACCATTTGGAAACGAGGGCCTGGGGTCAGTAGGGGGCCCCATGAGATGCCCCATGAGATACCTTTTTCATAGGCTTTTTTGAGTTTGGGCAAGGATACAGGGGCCCCATGATTCCCTATTGCCCGGGGGGCCCCTTGAGTTGCCAGTCCCCCCTGGCTGGAAGGACATACCTTTTTTTTTTTTTTTTTTGATTTTGTTCTTCCAATGGTCACGTTATAAAGAAGCCCATGGTGTGCGCTGCTAAGGAAGTTCTGTCGATGCATTGTAATGACGCAGTGCATGTACTTTTGTTTTCTTTTTTTTTTCTTCAACTTTATTGAAATGTTGCAAAAATGACAT